CACCGGCGGAGGGAGCACGAAGGAAGTCAGCCTCATCGTTTGGTCGGAGAGGCGGTTTGGGCAATTGCATGTCACGGCAAAAAACGAACACCCACGAAACGGCGACCAGGAGGGCCACGCCTCCCCGAGCTCGATGAGGGGCCAGCGGAGGGGAGGGGCGAGCCGAGGACGATAGGCGACTCGTCGACCAGGGAGAGCCGGCCCGACCTCCCTGGGCGGGGAGGCGACGCGACCCAATGCCGCCGTCCTCGCCCGGGGAGACCCCGGCCGGGCCGTCGACGCTCTCGGAGGCGGCGGTACCAGTCGAGGGTGAAGCGGAGTCGAGGCCACAGCCGAGGAAGAGACATCAGAAACGACTGCAGAGGCAGTCTGGTAACGCCCGGAAGGCGAGCAAGGGACCGGGCGGGACGAGCCGAGGGCTCGCCCCGGCGGGCGGAAGAAGGGACTCGGGGACCGGAGTCGGGCGGGCGCACACATGAGGCGTATCTGTGTACGTGCATGGAGTACAGTGTTGTGTGTCCGTTAGCTCTGAGTAGAGGGGGCGTTCTGCAGTTAAGGGGAGACCCGGTACACGGAACTAACCCTCGGAGACCCGTGTTTATTTTACGGCCCTTTCCCCGCGAACGCGCACCCCCCCTAGGGGTCAGGGCTCTCTAGCCCGTAGCCCGATGCCGATCATCCGGCCCGCTGGGTGCGCTTCTTAGCTCCCCGGCCCTGGATGTGAGGTTACTAACTGCACTCCAAGTGCTCCAAGAAACGGCACAAAGAGAAGAGTATTGGAAAGTATGGCGACGCATAATTCTTTGACGGCGCAAGAGAGTCGTCATCTGCGCCTTGACCCTTGTCCGTTGAGCGTTGTGGAATCTAACTCGTGATGGATGGTTAAAAGATTTGAATGAGCGAGGACCGACCGAGGTGCACATACAGACAGGTGGGGACGTGTCTGTCTCGAGTGTCTGTCACTCTGTCTCGGTGGCATGAAGGTTGCAGCGAGATTCGGCGAGGGACTGCGAACAGAGATAGGAAGAGGCAGACACGCCCAAGGGTGGGCGACGGCTAGCACCATCGACTAGCACCACACTCCTCTCCTTAAAATCCCTGTGTGGTGGCGGCGTGCCGTCCTCCCATCCCTCCCTTGAGGTGTCTGTTTTCTTTCTTTCTTCTCTTTGTCACTCTGTCTGTCCTCCCCCCGGCCTTACTTACCTAGCTAGCTTGGGATGTCCGTGTACTTTCTTCAATAGACAGGCTCGCACTTGGAGCACCTGGAGTGCAGTCATTGACCTCACATCCAGAGCCGGGGAGCTAAGAAGCGCACCCAGCGGGCCGGATGATCGATATCGGGTTGCGGGCAAGAGAGCCTTCCTAGCCCTGCGGGGTGCGCGGTCGCAGGGCCATAACACGGGTCTCCGAGGGTTGGCTCCGTGTACCGGGTTTCCCCTTAACTGCAGAACGCACCCTCTACTCGGAGCTAAAGAATACTCTCCGAGGGTTAGTCTGCGCTTTGGGTTTCCCCTAGCTGCGGAGCGCCCCCTCTACTCGGAGCTAGTGGACACGACCCTAGCTAGTGATACAAGAATACGTACCGCCCCCACGCAACTACACTCGACGATAATACGAGAATACGCAGCAGCGAGACGCCTATACAAAGAAACAGCGAGGTAAAGTTCGGCGGCTATGATAAACCGAAAGTTGTCGTAAAACGCGGGCGAAAGCAAAGCATAGGGCGGGCGCTTTTGCCGCAGCTATGCCCGCAGCCTGTCGAGCAGCTTCCGCGGCGCCCATGCGCCGCGGGGTTGACCCACAGAGCTCTCGTGCCACGCGCGGCGACATTCACACCGCGCGCCAGTCAGCGCACTGGTAGTACTGCACCAGCCAGCACGGCGTGGAGTGCAATGGAATGAGGGCATTGTACTGGGCGCCAGCCAGCATGCCTTAGCACAGAGCGGGAGAGCATGCTGCGCACCCTGACGCAGCGTCAACTCGCCTCCAATCAGGCTCTCTCACCGCCGCACAGCGGTCCACGAGCACCTGCAGCTGTGCTGCTCAACGCTCAAGCTCTGGGGCCTCCCCTCATTGTCGCAGCTTTGCGCACTGCAGCGTGCGAGCAGCGCAGCGCCAGGCCGACCCCTGGCACGCCCAGGCGGACGTGCGACGGAGGCCCGCCGAGCGAGTGCCCCACCCCGGGCGAGCTGCATCGGCCGTCGGCGGCCATGTCTCCCGCAGCCGCGAGCGAGCAGCTCAAAGAGGCAGCATCGCGCATGCTTTTCCGAAACGGCTCGATCACTCGCGATCAGACCTTCTCGCGACCCGCTCCCGTTCCCCTGTGCCCCTTGATCGCCCTTCCAAGATCCTGCTCGTGCAGTCAGTTGGAGTCATCCGCCTGTGTGTCCTTCTCCCATCCCTCGCTCGTTTGTAAATAAATAAATAAACAAATAGTCGTAGAAAATCCAAAATCCAAATCGCAAACATAGAAACCCAAACACACACAGCCACGTGGCATAGGAGAGCAGGAGGCGAAAGGAAGTCAGCAAACTTCCCAAGGACGCACGAGCGAGAAGCACAGCAGAGCAGACAGATGACGATTACCACCCAGCGCACGACCGCCAACTTTCCGGCGCAGGCCGCGAAGAACCAATAAATAAAACGGACACCTCTACTAGGAGATGGGTAAAAAGGAACAGGTCCCCGCCCTGCGGTCTTTGTGCAGGGTTCTTTGTGGGTGTGGTCGGCGACTAGCCGGGGTCGTCCTCCCGATGGGGGACTAGCACTAGCCGTCTTCCACATGGTCCCTCGGGTCCCTGCTGCTCCTAATCTCGTCGTACATCCTCCTGCTGATCTCCGCAACATCCTGCTCCCTCCCTCGTCTCGCCCTGCGCGTCTGCTCCGCCTCCCCGTCGTCCGCCCTGCGTCGTCTGGTGACGGGTCCTCCATAGTCGGTTGAGGTCGCCGCCCTCCTCGTGCCTCTTCCCAACGTTTCCTCGGCAGCCGATGCCGTCTGCTCCGACTCCGCCGTCCCCGGGTCTGCCCTGCCCTCGTCTGCGCTAGCTTCTGTTTCGTCATCACTGATGTCCGTCCTCTTCTTTCTCCTCTTGTTGTATGCTTTGTACATCGCGTCGATTCCTTTTCGCGTGAGCACCAGCCTGAAGCCCGCCCAGCAGCTGGACCGCTCCCTAAGTCGAAGGAGCATCATCAGTCTCACCCACTTCGCTCGCTGCCGACTGGCTCCGCTCCCTCCCGCTTGGGCCGCCGTCGCGGCCCTCGTTCGTCCCACTGGCTGTTGGCCTGTCCCCTCGTTACCTCTGTTATCCCTCCTCCTCCGCGACTCCCTCAAGGCTGGCCGGGCCTCCTTCCACCCAGCGAAGAGCTTCCTCAGCCACTCAATGTGTTCCTCTCTCTTCATTATGCGCGCGGTAGCCTCATCGTTGAGCTGGATCCACCTCTGCACCGCTCCCGTCGCCGCCTCGGCCACGACTTGCAAGCCGTTCGGTCGGCACCGCCTTTACTTTCTTTCTTGAGCAGACAGGCTCGAAGGAGACACACTCCTCTCCTTAAAATCCCAAACAAATCTAACACACTCAACCCATCATTTGGGGCCTGTTGTCACACAGGAGAAAGAATTTTAGAACAAAACTCCCTCACGCACGGGAAGGTGGCGCGCACTGGCTGGCACTAAACACCCAGGACCCCCCCCCCCCATAACACAGTTGAAGGGGGGGGGGGGGGCTAGGGAGAAAGAAGGCCGAAAAAAGCGCACGCCAAATAAAACGAGCAGCCATCTCCGGCAACACGGAAAAAGAAAGAAAAAAACACACGACGCAAGGGAGGGATGGGAGGAAGGCACGGCGCCACCACACAGGGATTTTAAGGAGAGGAGTGTGGTGCTAGCCCTCGCCCACCCTAACCCTTGGTCGTCTGCCTCTTTCTATCTCCCTTCGCAGTCCCTCGCCGATTCTCGCTGCAACCCTCATGCCACCTCGCGGTCGCCCACTCTCGTCGTTCTCCCTCCTGTCGTTTCCTCCTCTGTCGCGTCGCTCTCGTCTGCCTCGTCCTGCGACGCCGCCGCCGCCTGCCGATCCCTTGCGCTCGCGGCTTCTCCCGCCTTTCGGCGCAGCTCTGCCCTCCTCGCGGCATATTTTGGCCCCTCGAGTTTATCGAGCTCTCCTCGCGCAAGGACCACATTTCTAACTCCCACTGCGATCATATCCCGCCATGTCATATCGTTGCTCAGGTCCACTCTCTCTTCGAACACTTGTACCTCCACCGATGATGTTGGCGCTGGGGTCCCCTTCGGGTGCATCGTGACAGCTGACGACGGGATTACCACTGGTGTTTCGTCCTCCTCGGAGTCGTCTTCCCCGGCTTCCTCTCGTTCGGCTCTACGTTCATTACGTTCATCGTGGTGCCGTGAACAGGCGCGTTATCCATCCTATATTCTTCTCTCTCTCCTCTGCCCGTGCCTTCGTCTTGTCGTGGTTTCGCACAGAAATTTCCCGCGGGAATTTCTTTTCGTCCCACAAATGCTCGCGCTCGCCACCTCTGGGCGCCCGCCACCGACCCGCTCCTCGCCACCAGCGCGCGCTAGCGTCCCCTCCTCGTGCGCACCGCCGGACCCGCCGCTGCCGCGCCGGCTCGCGCGCCTCGCCGCCGCGTTGCGAGCGCCTCGTGAGCCGCGTGAGAGGCTGCTTCGTCTCGCGCGGCTCGGCGAGCGGCTGCCACCTCCGTCCACCGCACTGGTGGCGGCCGATGGGACGCGTGTGTCCGGCTGCACCTCTATGGTCGACGTGCTCGCGCGGCCGTCCGGCTCGGGCTCGCTTCGCCTCGACGGCGCCGCCGACTCTCGGCTCGCCCGCGGCCTCGTCGCGCTCCTCGTTCAGGGCCTCCGAGGCGAGCGCGCAGAGACGCTGCTAGCTCTGGACCCGGCGCAGGTCGCTAGAGCTGCCGGTCTCGTTGGCGCGCTCTCGCCCTCGCGCGTCAACGGGCTGGGCGCCATGATCCGGCTCATGCAGCGCCAGCTAGAGGCGGGCGTGGCGGCGGAGGCGGCGGCGGACGCCACGCCGGCGGGCGTGGCGTCGGCGAAGGCGGCGGCGGAGGCTGCGCCGGCGGACGGTGCTTCCGCGACGACGTCCGGCGGGGAGGGCGGGAGAGAGGCTGTGCTGCGCGCCGGTTCGCGCGGCAGCCTCGAGTCGGCGGGCGAGGAGGTCGCTGTGCTGCTCTCGGGAGGCGTCGACTCGTCGGTGGCGCTGCGGCTGCTGCACGACGCGGGCGTGCGCACGCGCGCCTTCTACCTACGCATCTGGCTCGAGGACGAGGACGCGCACGTCGCCTCGGGCGAGTGCCCGTGGGAGGAGGACTGGGCCTATTGCACCGCCGTCTGCGAGCAGGCGGCCAACTCGCCACTGTCCTCCCACCGCTACTGTCCTCCCACCCCTCTCCCCGCCCGAGACCCGAGGGCCTGTCCGGTGGCAGGCGGGCGTGCCGCTCGAGCGCGTCTCGCTGCAGCGCGAGTGCTCATCCCTCGTGGCTGCCGCCTCTCCGAGAGGAGCCTCGCCTGAGCCTTCTCGGAGCCCTCTTTGCAGGTACTCGTCGCTCGTCGTCGACTACCTAATCAATCATTAATTGATCGGAGGTTAATCATTAATTGATCTTTGCAGGTACTCGTCGCTCGTCGTCGACTACCTCATTTCCGAGGCGCGCGCCGGCCGCACGCCCAACCCGGACATCATGTGCAACTCGCGCGTCAAGTTCGGAGCCTTCATGGACGCGGTCGGCACGCACTTCGCTTGCGTCGCGTCGGGGCACTACGCCCGCTGCGCACTACACGGCGAGCCGGGCTATCACCACGCCTCGGGCGGCCACGACTCGCGCCTCGCTCGCGCCTCTCTCGCGCCGCCGCTGGCCTCGCCGCTGGCCTCGCCGCTGGCCTCGCCGCGTGCGGGCGGCGGGGCGGGCGGGCGGGCGGTGCTCTACCAGTCGGCAGACGCGCACAAGGACCAGACCTACTTTCTGTCTCAGCTGAGCCAGTCGCAGCTCGCAAAGACTCTCTTCCCGCTCGGTGCGGCGAGCGAGAGAGAGAGAGGAGAGGAGAGGAGAGGAGAGGAGCAGAGAGGAGGCAGTCTTCCCGCTCGGTGCGGCGAGCCGGCGAGCGTTGCGCCGCGCCATGCGCCGCGCCAGCTGCGAGTCTAACCCGCTGCCCTCGCGTCCGCACCGCAGGCGCGCTGCCGAAGAGCGACGTGCGCCGGCTCGCACACGAGCGGAGGCTGCCGAACCGGGCGCGCAAGGTGCGCCGGGGCTGCTTGCTTGGCGTGTGCGCAGTCCACACGGCGCGTGCGTGACGGTGGCATGGCGCGCGTGCTCCCGCAGGACTCGCAGGGCATCTGCTTCCTCGGCCAGCTCGACTACGACGCCTTCCTGCGCGGCCACTTGGGGGAGCGGCGTGGCGAGGCGCGCAACTCGGAGGAAGGGGGGGGGCGACGGGGGGCGATAGGGAGGGGGGACGTGAGCAGGCCCGCCCGCCCCCTTCCCTCCCAGGTGCGCGAGTTCGAGACGGGCGAGATCATCGGCGAGCACCGCGGCCTCTGGTACCACACCGTCGGCCAGCGGCGCGGCGTCGGGCCGGCCCTCGGCCCGCGGCACGTCTCGAGGCGCGGGACCGCGCGAGTAGCAAGTAGAGTAGCCTCGAGGCGGAGAGCCGCGACATACGCAGATCTGCCCCTGCTCTGCCCCGCGCCGCCGTCTAAGAGATGGCAAATCTCCAGGGGGCCGTGGTACGTCGTGCGCAAGGAGATGGACAGCAACGTCCTCTTCGTCTCCCGCGAGTATGCCTCGGCCGACAAGCCGCGCAACGCCTTCCACGCCGACGCAATCAACTGGATCGGCGGCGCCCCGCCGCCCGCTGGCGCAGCCGGCGAGCCGACTCCGCTCCGCGTCAAGGTGAGGCACGGCGCCGCATCGCACGAGGCGTCCGTTTCGCTCCTCGACGGAGGCGCCCGCGCGCACGTGTCGCTGGCGGGGCGCGACAAGGGGCTCGCGCCCGGCCAGTTTGCGGCCTTTTATGACGGGCCTGTCTGCCTAGGGTCGGGGGTGATTTCGGAGGAGGGGTTGTAGCGATGCGTCAGTTTAGCTGTGAGCGGTTAGTACGTGAAATGCGCCAGGAGTGCACCACATTTCAAGCTGTGAGGTCTGAGCTGTGACGGCAGACGGGGCCCAACCTCTGCGGGGCTATATACCCACGTGCCACGATGTGTGCACAAATCTAAAAAGCCGTGCTACAGCAAAAATGAAAAAATACCGGCGAACATGCGTGCGCAACACTGCCAAGCCACTCTGCAAGTGGGGCGTCACACGTCTCTCAAAGGGGGGGCCAAGGCGCAAGAGCGAAGAGGCGCTGATGCAGCATGGGCATGTGGGCGTGCTCAGGCAGGCCACGCCAGGCCCCTGTGGGTGAGCTATCAGCTAGCGGTGCCACAAGCGCCTCGGTGCAGGGTGACGGACTACACACAGGGTTGTGCATGCAGGCGCTCCACGGGCCTGCCCCTCCCGGCGGCGCCGCCCCCCTCCCCGCCACCTCTCCCCTGGAACAGCGCACGCACCAACCTCTCGAACTAGAAAGTGGATGTCCGCTTGCTGCCTCTCTTCCCGAGCGCGGTCTGGCCAGAGCGTACGGCGGCGTGGGACGCGGCCGCGGCCGCAGTGGCGCGCTTTGCCGCGGCAGAGGCGACGAGAGACGGGTTGAAGCCGCGGCGCGCCTTGGCGTCCCCCGCTGGCGAGCTCTCGGTGCCCGTGGCATCCTTCACAACGTCCTTCGTGCCCTGCTTCTTGAGCAAGCCGCCCGCCCGCGGCCAGCCCCGCCCGCCCTCGGGCGCCGCCGCCTCTCCCCTCGCGCCCTCCGCCGCAGCCAGCTTCGCCGCCTCTGCCGCCGCTGCCGCCGCCGCCTCTTGTTCGAAGCTCTTCACGCGATTCCTCAGCTCGACCACCTCCTCGAGCGCCGCCGCCGCTGCCGCCGCCGCCGCCGCCCGCGCCTCTGCGTCTCCCGTGGCGGCGGCATCGCAAAGTACGAGCCTCAACTGCGCGCGAACTGACTCGGCCGCTGCCGCCGCCGCTGCCGCCTCTGCCCGAGCGGCCGCGGCTTCGGCGCGAGCCGCGTCCGCCTCTGTGCGCGCCCGCTCTAGCTCGGCGGGACCATCGCTGCTGCTGCCGGTCTCGCTCTGCGCCGCAAGCTGCGCGGCGAGGGCGAGGTTTGCTAGCGGCCGGACCTTCTCCGCTGCGGCCGCCTCCGCCTGCGCCGTGCACGCGCAAGCCGCCGCTGCTGCCGCCCGCTGCGCCTCCGCCGCGGCGATCTCGAGAGCGGTCGCCGCGGCCAGCTCTGACTGCGCCGCCTCTGTCGACGCCGCCGCGCTCTCCCAGTAGATTCGCAGCGCCACGTCGCCGCCGAGAAGTGCCACCTACAGCACGGTTCCGAACGAAGCTTCCGAAAAGCCACCAGCCCCTCGTCGCCTAGTCCCGACAACGCCGCCTCCGAGCGCACGGCGTCGGCGAGGGCAATGGCGGCCGCCGCCGCAGCCCTCGCAGCGGCAGCGTCGGCGCGCACTCCCTCCACCTCGGCTCGCTTCGGCGCCGCCTCGGCCGCAGCCACCGCTTCGTCCCGCTCGATGCGCAGGGCGTCGGCCGCGGCGACGGCGGCCGCGGCGTCGGCCCGCGCCTCCGCCTCCTTGCTGCCTGCAGCGCTCCCCGCGCCCGCCCCGCCGGCCGCGCTCAGCTGGGCCTGGAGCCGTTTCGCCAAGTCCAGCGCCGCCTGCTCCGCCGTGGCGGCTCGCGCGCGCGCGCCCATCGCCGCCGCGCGCTGCGCCTCGACCGTCGCGAGCGCCTTCTTGCTCGCCGCGAGCGCCTCCTCCGCCGCTGCGCACCGCGCCTCCAGCGCAGCCACCAAGGTGTCGTGACCGGAGCTCTCGCACGCGTGCTCCTGATCCGCCGCTGGCTCTCCCTCGGCCGCCGCCATACGCGCCTCGGCCGCCGCCGCTCGCGCCTCGGCATCAGTCACACGCGCCAGAGCGTCGGCCTCCGCTGCCCTGGCGCTCGCTCGCGTCTCGGCCTCCTCGAAGGAGGCCCGCTGCCGCCTCCGCACGCGCGCTCGCCAGTCGCTGACGTGCCTCTGCAATAGCAAGGTGGCGAGCACCTGTGTGGAAAATGTATTTGTCCTGAGAGGGGCGTTGCGGAAGGAGAAGGCAGGGAGGGCGCGCCTGGTCTCGCGTGCCTATGAGCTCGCCGGCTCGTGTGCCGATGAGATCGTCGAGCGCGCAGGCCGGCTGCCTTCTGCCCGGCAAGTGGGGTGCGAGCCGGACGAGCTGGAGAGGAGACGACAAGTCTATCGGAGGGGGGGGGCGCATGTAAGATTTTCTCCACGATGACGCCGTTCATGCCGTGTTCTTAGATCTATTCAGTTGTTCATTTTTGCACAGATTCTTCCTTAGCGAGTAACAGGACCGTGGCTTGGTGCTTATGGTGCGAGCGAGGCGGAGGGGCTAGAGAGAAAGCGGACTGCAAACACAAGAACACAAAAACACGAAAACACAAACACAACCACGCACCTCTCTCTCTCTCACACACACACATGACAAGCGATCAATACTCACTCACTCACTCACAAGCGATCCTTCCCGACGACAGCGTCGGCGGGAATTGCATGACGGGTAGAGGGGCCCGTCCGCGGAACTAGGCGACACAGGCACCCCTCACTTGGAGCACTTGGAGTGCAGTCATTAACCTCACATCCAGGGCCGGGGAGCTACTCGAGTAAGAAGCGCACCCAGCGGGCCGGATGATCGGTATCGGGCTACGGGCAAGAGAGCCCTGACCCCTCACTGTGTCGAGCGTAAGAGGCCGTCTGCCGCTTGCTTGTTCTCGACCAATTGACGCGCTCAATCGCGCGCCTGCTTGTGTTGATGTTGGTTGGCGCCATGGCCCGCCACCGCAGCCACGGACATCTGCTGCGTGTGAGGGACGACAAAGGAGGAGGCGCTCACCGACGCCGCCCCATACACCGCCCGGTCCGTGTTGGTGCCAGGTACATACTTGGTCAGGTCACGCACCGACTGCACGACCCCGAGGCGAAGGGCGACCGTATGCACATCCCACAGGTCGAGCCACTCTGGGTGATGGCTCCGACAGGCACGCACACGCTCCACCGGAGACGAGTTGACCATGCTATTGTGCACACTGCTCCCACACGTTCGGACACCACTTTTCCTACTAGTGTGGGCCCGGCTCTTTCAGGGGGCTGGCCCATATCTCAAGCGTGACGCAGCATCCAGACCCCGGTCATTCGTTGCGGAAAAAGTGACGCCAGCAGGTTCCAGCCATCAGAGGTCGCCTTACCGAGGGACAGGAGCCAGTCGAGGAGCCAGCTCGAGCCGCGCGTCTACAGTCACTCGCCCAAGCCCGAGCCGACAGAGATTAGGCCGAGGGGGAAGCGGATTTTGCCGCGGCATCAAGTTTTGGTGAAGACGTTGAGCTTTGAGGAGGCCATGGGGCGGCACCGTCATGTCTACGACGCATCCGGCTGCGACGTCCGCCAACAGCGGAGAGTGTCTTATACCCTCGAGAATTCGATGGCACACAAGGGCGCGGCAGACGTGCGCAGTCTCGAGAGCTGCGCAGGCTTGCCGGGCTACATGTCGCATGAGATTGTGACCATGCCGCGGCTCGGCACGTACTCTACAATCAGCAGGTCTGCCGACGTCTGGTTTCTACGTGTTACCCCCTCCCTCTGGCGCGCCGAGATGTGATCCACTGCAGTGGCTCGTCTCGACGCACAGCCCTGTTCCACTCCCTCGGTGTAACCCTCGAGGCACCGAAATCCGGTCTCGTGGCTTTGGTGAGGGCAGGGTAGGCGAAGCGCCCGAGCGACCCACTGAGGTGGGCCGGCTCAGTCCCTCATCACCACGAGCATGCTCGAGCCACCGAGGCAGATTTATATACCGTGCCTTGCTGCCCCCAGTCGGTGGGACGGGCAAGCGCGGGCCAACTGGAGGGGCAAAGGAACTCGAGGGGGAGGATGCCGTTCATGTATGACGTCTCGATCTGGAGCAGACGTGTCAACCCCGTGTGGTACAGATCACATATGCATACAACATGCACATGTGCATGCTGCATGCACATGTTGTCGTAGCCGGTGGGGTGGTCGACCTTGAACTAGTAGGCGCCGCCCCCGCGGCCGCCCGACGACCCGTCGCCGCCGTCGCCGCCACCCGTCTGCTAAGAAAGAAGATCAGTGTCACCCCCCCGGGTTGGTTTGGGGCGGAGCACATCGGCGTGAGCGCGCTCCGAATTGGTCGCGGTCGGTGGCCGAGCACAGAGGCGGGCGTTGGTCCCAAGGTAGGATTCCTACGCGCCCTATTTCAGACGCCCAGCACACCACGATCAGTGGTGGCCCACGTCCCACTCGCACGGGGCGACAGCCGACACGCCACTCGCCAGGATGTTGGTCATTACAAGAAACACGACACACGCACGGCTCCTCCTCCCAAGCCAATGGTGTCTAAGGGTCTCTGACACTCCTGGATGCACGCTCAGCCACAAGCGGTGTAAGTTAAGAGGGACTCACGTCGCGCCAGGGGGCCGAAGGAGTAGCAGTGTTCGGAAGCAGCGTCCGAGCGGTCCCGAGCGGTCCCTACTCGAGCGTCCTGAGCTGCCCCAGAGCACGCCTGTTTGTAAACCCCTGCGTTTTCTTAGCCTACGGCGCCTCGGTCGATACAAATCGCCGAGGACAGGTGCAAGCATGGATGACGTGAGCCTGGTCGGCTCCGAAATTGGCGGCGAGACCTTCCGCTTCGGCTACGACAATGTGGACACGGCGTCGGTTGTCTCTGGAACCTCGACAGCTCAGCTGTCCGCCGTGTCTTGCACGCCCCCATCAAGGGCGCCGCCTGGGCAGCGCTTCGTCTTCATCGGCAACGTCCGCGAGGACTCGGCCGCCGCGTTTTCCCTGATGCCGGGCGACATTGTCCTCGCCTGCGGGAGCTCGCCCGACGCGAAGTCACACGCCGAGCTGGTCGACGCGGTGCGCTCGGCGGTCGGGATTCTCTCCTTGGCCATCTGGCGGGCCGGCGAGGTTCGCTTTGCGGCGCTGCACAAGCCGTCGGCCGACACTTTCCTCGGCATCACTCTCAGCGCAGGCGCGGGAGGAGAGGAGAGGAGAGAGGAGAGAGGAGAGAGGGGAGCGGTGAGAGCAGAAAGGAGAGCAGCACCGCAGGCGCCGTCGACACCGAGGAGGAAGCGGCAAAGATCCGCAAGGCCACCGCCGTCGCTCACTCGGTGGTGGTCAAGAGGCACGCGGCGCAGCTGGCGGCCGCGGCGGCGGAGGAGGAGGGGGAGATAGCAGCAGAGCCCGCGGCGAGCGGCAACCAGCCTCCGCAGCCGGCCGCGGCGGAGGAGGCAGCTGCAGCAGAGCACGCGGAGGCAGCACCCAGGGCAGCACGCGCAGCGGGCGGCGCGCGGCAGGCTGCGAGTCAGGTGGGCGAGGCCTCTCCAGAGGCCGCTCGCCGCTTGCACCCCGAATGCCGGCCGCGGGATCTCTCGGCCACGGAGGCGGGCCGCGAGAGGGACCGCACGGCGCTGGCCGTCCAGGCGTTGCGCGCGCGGCAGGCAAAGGCGCGCGAGCAGATCTCGGCGTTGGAGACGTCGGAGGCGATGCGGCAGGCGGAGGGCGAGATGGAGCGGCTGAGGCTGGCACGGGGCGCGGAGCGGCAACGGCTCCGGGCGGCGCTCGAGGAGGCGGCGGACACGCGCTCGAGGCTGCAGACGCTGCGCTTCGAGCTCGGGACGTGCGAGGCGGAGCTCGACGGGGCGGTGGAGGCGGCCACCGCCGCGCGCACCGCCCACCTCGAGATCGAGCTCGCCGCGGCGGCCGCCGAGCTACGCGCGGCGCGCGAGGAGGCGGCGGCAGCAAGGCGCGAAGCGGCGGCGGCGAGGGCGGCGGCGGCGGCGGCCATGCACTCGGCCGCACGCGGCGCGGAGGTGCTGTAGCTGGAATGTAACGGAACGCGGAGGGAACAGTGGAGCACGGCGTCTTCGCTATTCGCTCGAGATGGTTCATTGCTTTCGTACTTTATCTCGTGTCGCGCGCGTGTCCGTTGCGGTCTTGGGGCTTGTGTGTCCTTGACCTTGGGGTCCTTGAGGGGTGCGTTGTCGGGAGATGTTGGAACGAGCGCGCAACGAGGGGCGATTCGCGTGCGCGCGCGGAGTTGTTGGGTGGTGGCCTTCATACGAGTATGCCTTGCTCAACGATATAAAACCAATGGTTTCAAACTCGCGACTCACTTCACCTTACGGCTTTGTTTATATTCACCTCCGCCGCTCTGGCGCAGCCTCGCTGAAGCCGCGCCCGTTGGTCCGCCCGTCGTCGTGCGGCCGCCGCTGCGCGTCCCTCGCCGCGACGTTCTGCTTGTGCAGCTCCGACTCGGCGACGTGCTTGGCGAGCACCGCAGCCGACTTGAGCTTGCGCTTGCAGACGAGGCAGACGAGGTTGTCCCAGTCCACGTCGCCGTCGCCGTCCCTGCTGCGCGGCGGCGGCGGCGGCGGCTGCTGCGGCGGCGGCGCCCCGTCCGCCCTCAGGTCGGGCGGCGGCCGCGGCCTGCCCGCCCGTTGGATGGGTGGCGCCGCGTCGCCGGGCCGGAGCGGAGGCGCGCCCCGCGCCTCTGCGGGCTCGGCCGGCTCGGCCGGCTCCTCGGGCTCGTCCGCCACCGCCTGCTTGAAGAGGCCGAGGGAGGGCTTCGCGAGGCCCAGCTTCTTCCCCTTGGCGAGCCCGCCCCCGCCGCCCATCCCGAGCACCACCTTGCCGCGGTTCCCCTCGAGCGGCTTCGCCTCTGCCACCGCGGGTTCGCCGCCGCCCGCGGCGGCGGCGGCGGCGGCGGCTGCGGCGGCGGTGGCGAGTGCGTTGCCCACGGGCAGGGGCGCCGCCGCCGGGGCCGCCTCCGCGTTCATCTCGTACGGTAGCCCCGTGATCGGGTCGAGGTACTTTTCGTCGATGTACTGGCTCAGCTTGCCCGTGATCGGGTCGGACGAGTACCAGAGGCCGGTGGCGGGGTGGTAGTAGAGGCACTTTGCGGCGTCGTAGTAGTAGCCCGTCTCGGCCGAGTAGTAGTAGCCGCTCTCGTGGTCCGCCTCGAAGCCCTCCGGGACGCCGTACCCCGCCCGCTTCGGCCCCTGGTGCGCCGGCTCGCGCTCCTCTGCGCGGAAGGCCGAGCGGTGCGTGTCCCTCGCCCAAGAGAGCCGGCAGCTGGCGCCGTCCACCTGCAGGCAGGATGTACCACCCCTCTCGAGCGCGCCGCGCCGCGCGCCTTCGGTGCGGTGGGATGCTGCGCAGGGGCCGCCTCGAAGCCACCGCCCTTGCTCCGGAGGAGCGACCTGGCGTCCGCCATCTCAAAGAACTCGACAAAGGCGAAGCCGCGAGAGGCGCGCGAGCCTGCGAGGCGGCGGCGGGGGTGTGGGTGTGTGTTGGGGGGGGGGGGGGGGGGGCCTTGGGGGGGGCCCGAAAAACCGGGCGGGAAAAGGGGGGGGGGGAATTTCCCCTTTTTCGGGAACAAACCCCACCTCCGGGAAGGGCCCCTATGGGGAAAAAGCCTTTTTGACCTGGGCCTCCCCAGTCCCCTCCCCCATCCCTTTGACCATGATCACGGGCGCCTGGCGGCCGGGGGCGAGGGCGGGTAGGGCGCTGCCGGTGGAGGCGGGGACGGGGGGCGAGCGGCGGCGGCGCCTCTGGCTCCTCGCCGCGCCAATCGCCGCGCCAATCGCCGCGGCCATCGCCACGCCGCTCCTCGCGCCGCTCCTCGCGCCGTTCTTCACGGCGATCGTCACGCCACTCATCGCGGCCGTCGCCGCCACGCCGATCGTCGCGACGATCGCGATCGTCTCCGCGCCGCTCCTCGCGCCGCTCCTCGCGCCGCTCCTCGCGCCGCTCCTCGCGCCGCTCCTCGCTGCGGCCGCCCTCGCCATAGTCGCGCCGCCCCTCCGCCTGAGGCGAAGCAAGGGTCGGCGCTGACGAGGGGGGGGGGGAGGGGAGGGGAGGGGGGGGGGGGGAAGGGGAAGGGGAGGGCCCCCCTCGTTCTTCGACCTGCGCATCTCAAACACGTGGCGCAGCTCTCGCTCATAGTCGCCGCCGCCACCCCGGTCGTCGTGCCGGTCGTCGTACCGGTCATCGTACCGGTCGTCGTAGCCTCTGCGGCGGTCACGCTCTCGCGACCTGTCGCGCGAGCGCGAGCGGTCTCGCCCCCGCTCTCGCTCGCGGTCTCGCTCGCGGTCTCGCTCGCGGTCTCGCTCGCGCCGCTCGCGCCAGTCGTCTTCCGCCGCCTCCCTCGACGCCTCGCCTGCGTGGCCCGTGCAGGCCGCTGAGAAGTTGGGAACGCGCCGTGCGAGGTCGGACCGCCATCGCACCCTCCCGCCGGTGCGTGCGCCACTGAGGAGGGGCGCGGGACGGCTCCGAGTAGCCCAAGTCGACCGCGACCCCGCACACTGCAAACTCTCCCACGGAGCCCTCCACAAAGGCCTGCAAACGCGGCGCGCGCGGGGCTCAGGAGGGGCCGTCCCGCGAGGGGCCGCCGGCCGCGCCGAGCGCGCAGGGGGAGGGGCGACCTGCGCCAGCTCCACCGACTCGAAGCTGGCGGCGCACTCGACGGAGCCGTCCCTGCGGTGCGACATTCGCACCCTCACGTCCCCGTAGTCGCTGAGCTGCGAGAGGACGTCCGCCTCGGTGGCGCGGGCCGGCACGCCCGACAGCTTGACGTCGCGGCTCGCGGCGCCCGACATTCCGCCACCCCCGCCTCTCGCCGCGGCGCCGTCGACCCCGCGCGTGGGCTGATCCGCGCGCGTGGGAGGGGCTACAACAGAGGACAGCCCGCTCAAAAAGAATTTAAACAAGACAAAAAGAATTTGCGTGTGCGCAGCGCGAGAGCAAGGGAGCGGCAGGCGGTGGCGGCGTCGCAGGACGAGGGCACGAGGCAGAGGAGAGCGACGCGACAGAGGAAGAAGCGACAGAAGGGAGAACGACGAGAGTGGGACGACCGCGAGGTGGCATGAAGGTTGCAGCGAGAATCGGGGAGGGACTGCGAAGGGAGATAGAAAGAGGCAGACGACCAAGGGTTAGGGTGGGCGACGGCTAGCACCACACCCCTCTCCTTAAAATCCCTGTGTGGTGGCGGCGTGCCCTAACCGTCCCTTGGGTTGTGTGTTTTCTTTCTTTCTTTCTTTCTTTCTCTTCATCAGCAGCAGCAGCAGTTGGAGCAGCAGCAGCAGCAGCAGCAGCAGCAGCAGCTGCCGCCGCCGCCTCCGTCGCCGCCGCTGCCGCCTCCTTCGCCGCCTCGCCACCGCCTCGCCGGGCGGTGCGGCCGCAGCTGCAGCTATGGCAGCAGCCGCAACCGAGGCAGCAGCAGCGGCAGTAGCAGCGGTAGCCGCAGCCGCAGCCGCCATCCTTTTTTTCACGGTCCTTCCCCCGTAAAAGAGAAACCAGGTTGCGTGGGCTTGTGTGTGTGGAAAGCGCTTCACGCACCTCGCTGCGACGGATGGAGGGAGAGACATGCCAAACAAGTGGGTGGGGGATAGGTTCGTGCCTCGACCAGTTGTGTCGTATGGGGTGTACGAAGGGCCGGTCCGATTCGGGAGACCCGTCGAGGGATCTGAACAGCTCGAGAGCGGGGACGATGAGCTGCGGCTCGCGTTTGGGCAGGGGCTGTGGGGCGGCAGACTGCCAGACGACTGGCAGGTGATAGACGCGGAAATGTACGCGGTGCTGGCTTACCTGCGTAAGATGGCGACGGCGGAAGATGCGGCGGACAGGAGGTGCCTCGTCTTGAGCGACTGCAAGCCCGCGCTACAGCAGATCGAGGCGGCGTATCGAAGAGGCTCTCTTGAGGGGCTCAGGGAATGGGACCGAGGAGGGATGTTAGAGGGGATATGCAGATATCGCGCCCAGCTCGAATCCGTCACGTTCCTGTGGGTACCGAGCCACGCGGGGTGCGCTAGCAACGCCTACGCCGACGCCGCGGCGACGGCATACACAGGGGCCAGCGAGATTGAGGATGCCACAGCGGTCATTCGGGGAGCGGTGAGGACACGCCCGTGCCTATACACGGACCGCCGGAGGACGGCAGACAGAGAGAGTGTGGGCGGGAGGTACTGGACCGGAGGACCTATTACGCCACACGCGGCCACGCGAACGAGTGGGTGCGAGGACGGCTCGGCGAGGGGCTCACGGCGGGGTCGCACACGGCAGGGGTGACGGGGCCGCTGTGGAGCGATGTGGTCAGGGGAACGACGAGACACAAACGGGACAAGCGCCAGCGGATCAAGGATCAGCACGGCGAGCGCGAGATTGAATTCGCCGACGTGGATGATCACAACGTGGTGACAAAGACCGTCATGGGAGCGCGTGTGCGGCAGCAGGCGGGGGTGCCACACGGAGCGCATCACGAGAGGATTATGCGGGGAGAGGCGGGGAGAGAGACCCCGGGTGCCGCCACAAGGAGCGAACTCAGGGGCTGCCTCGTCTGTAAGGCCGCGAGGGACGCGGCGAGGAGGGCGGCACTAAAGCGAGACCCGCTGTGTCCGATCGTGCGGAAAGCCGCGCAGCAATGGACCGAGGAAGATGAGAACCCGCCTAGAGCGACGATGGCGCACTTGCTTAGCGGCGCCTGCCTGGGGAATAGGGAGCAGGCCAGATGGTTCCTCAGAGTGGCGCGAGCGCAGACGGGGACGGCGATCAGCAAAGTAGCCCAGGCGGCACCCGACTCCAAGGATACGCTGAAGACGCGGAGGATAGCGCATGTCGCTGCGCTGAAGGGCCCACGCTATAGGGTGCTGGATGAGGACGGGTACGATGCACTAGCCCCAGCCGTCGGGGGGGTGTTGCCGGCGCTGGTAGATGATCTCTCGGAGAAGAGCCGGAGGGACCTTGGCGCCGGGGTCACGAGGAACTTGCAAGTCGTGGCCGAGGCGGCGACAGGAGCGGTGCAGAGGTGGATCCAGCTCAATGATGAGGCTACAGCGCGCATAATGAAGAGAGAGGAACACATCGAGTGGCTGAGGAAGCTCTTCACTGGGTGGAAGGAGGCTCGGCCGGCCTTGAGGGAGTCGCGGAGGAGGAGGGATGACGCAGGCAACGCAGGGACAGGCCAGCAGCCAGTGGGACGAACGAGGGCCGCGACGGCGGCTCAAGCGGGAGGGAGCGGAGACGGTGGGCAGCGAGCGAAGTGGGTGAGACTGATGATGCTCCTTCGACTTAGGGAGCGGTTCAGCTGCTGGGCGGGCTTCAGGCTGGTGCTCACGCGAAAAGGAATCGACGCGATGTACAAAGCATACAAGAAGAGGAGAAAAAAGAGGAGAGGCGCCAGTGATGACGAAGCAGAAACTAGCGCAGACGAGAGCAGGGCAGAACCGGGGACTGGGGAGCCGGAGCAGACGGCATCGGCCGCCGAGGGAACGTTGGGAAGAGGCACGAGGAGGGCGGCGACCTCGACCGACTATGGAGGACCCGTCGCCAGACGACGCAGGGCAGAAGACGGTGAGGCGGAGCAAACGCGCAGGGCGAGACGAGGGAGGGAGCAGGATGTTGCGGAGATCAGCAGGAGGATGTACGACGAGATTAGGAGCAGCAGGGACCCGAGGGACCATGTGGAAGACGGCTAGTGCTAGTTAGTCCCCCATCGGGAGGACGACCCCGGCTAGTCGCCGACCACACCCACAAAGAACCCTGCACAAAGATCGCAAGGGCGGGGACCTGTTCCTTTTTACCCATCTCACACTAGAGAGGTGTCCGTTTTATTTATTTGTGTGGAAAGCGCTCTAAGGTCTAAGGAACGCAAACGACGACGGCGTGCCGCGAGATCCTCTTTTCCTTATGCCCGCAACCCACTGTGTACGCCCAACTCCAGAGATCCAGAGGGGTCAGATGTCCTCCTCCTCTGGGAACAAGCTCGCGAACGCCTCCCACCCCAGCTCCACAGCCGCCAGCGCCTCGTCGTCGATGCTCTCCGCGGCGGCGACCCCGCCTCCAGATAGCGCGCTCTCCTCCCCAGCGCTGGACGGCGGCTCGTCAAGGCGCGAGCGGTCTCTGCTCACTCCGTCCCTCAGCGGCGACCGCCAGTTGGCCGTGTCCCTGCCTTCCGCTCGGGCGGCGAGCTTGCCCGCCCCCTGAGCCGCAGCCATCCCTCCGCCCGCAAGCAGTCCCCTCCGATGGCGCTCCAGCACTTCGAGCTCGTTGAACGACACCGCGTGTATGCAGTCCACAGGGCAGCAGTCGATCGCCTCCGCGATGACGTCCGCTGTGTCGCCGCTCTGCTGGAAGACCCTCGCCGCACCAAACTCAGCCTCCATCCGGAACGTGCTTCGCGCGATCTCCGCGCAGTACCGGCACCCGATGCATCGCGACTCGTCCACGTATGTGAGCTGCGGAAGCGTCGAGTCGCGAGAGAGGCTGCTGGGCAGGAGGCCGTGAGTGCTGTCTGCAGAGAGAAGCTCATGCGAGTCGACCGCCCCGATGAGCGAGTCGCGCTTCTGCAGGTAGGAGGCCTTCACCGCTACTACGCGAGGAGCGGACATCAGCAGAGACATGGCGGCCAGGAGGCCAGGACTGATTAGCCAGTGTGGCGAGCGGTTCCGTATGCCTTTACTGTCCAGGCTAGAGTGTGGCGAGCGGACCGTGTGCGAAAATTCCCTTCGCCAAAAGAAAAACGCCTCCGCGCATCCCTCCCTTGGGTTGTCTGTTTTCTTTCTTTCTTTAGGAAGAGGCAGACGCCCAAGGGTGGGCGACGGCTAGCACCACACTCCTCTCCTTAAATCCATGTGTGGTGGCGGCGTGCCGTCCTCCCATCCCAACGTTTGGGTGCTTGTTTTCTTTCGTTGGGTGATTGTTTTCTTTCTTTTCTCTCAATAATCAAATCCTATCCCATCCAACCAGTCCTGGCAGGTTGATGCGGGGTTGGTGTTGCTGAATGCGTATTCTTCATGCGAAACCGCGAAAAAAGATTGTTGGTTTCCTAAAATCTCTCTCCCGAAAAAACATCTCGCAGCGCGGAGGAGGACCGCGGTGCTCGGTGGAGCTCCAAAGAAAGAAAAGAAAGAAATCAGAAAAACCAAACAAGGGATGGGACGAGGACAGGGTCCCCACCTGCACGAGCAGGATTTTGGAAGGACGATCAGGGGCCTGTCAGGGGCACAGGGGGTTCTCCTGCTCCCTGACAAGGGACAACGACAGGCTCGCAGCGCGCTAGCGGCTAGGCAGCGCGGTGCTCGGTGGACTCCCAACTCCACTGGCGGTCTCATCTCAGTCTAGCGACCTGCCTCCAGCTTCTCACTGGCAGTCTCTCGCTACCACAGGCACACTGACAGGGGTGGCAGGGGCGGCGGCAGGAGTCTCCCACATACTAATGTGGGCGGTGGAGTTCCAGAAAGAAAAAAGAAAGAAAGAGAACAGACAAGCCACGGGAGGGATGGGAGGACGGCACGCGTCGGGTGGATCGACTGTCCCGGCGTTTCTTCTTTGTTTGCCTGTGATAGTGCTAGCACGCGCCAGTCCGCACCTGTGTCGAGCCTGTCTGCTGTGGAGAGAGTTCCATCTTGGAGCACTTGGAGTGCAGTCAGTAGCCTCACATCCAGAGCCGGGGGGCTAAGAAGCACACCCAGCGGGCCGGATGATCGTGATCGGGTTGCGGGCAAGAGAGCCCTATAGCCTCGGGGGTGCGCGTTCGCAGGGAAAGGGCCATAAAGTAAATTCGGGTCTCCGAGGGTTAGCCCCGCGTACCGGGTTTCCCCTTAACTGCAGGACGCCCCCTCTACTCGGAGCTAATGAACACCACACTGCACGCCTCACACCACCACTCTCTGCACTCACTTGCGCAGACACTTGAGTAGACCCCCCGCCCGCCTGAGGGCTCACCCCTCGTCTTCCCAGGGTTCCGACACTCCTTGATTCGCTCTCTTGCTCGTCTCCCGAGCGTTATGCGACGACCGGTATGGTCGTTTCCCTCGTTGTTGGTGTCGCTTTCTCCGCTGCCGCCCTTCGTCTTCGCCAGCTTCTCCCGGCTCCACCGCTTCCGAGGGCGTCGACGGCCCGGCCGAGGTCTCCCCGGCCGAATGCGGCAGCAATGGATCCTCTCGCCGCGCCTCCCCGGGGGGTCGGGCTGGTTCTCCCTGGTTGGCGAGTCGCGCCCTCATCCGCGGCCTTTCTATCGTACTCGGCTCGCCCCCCCCTCCGCCGGCTCCTCGTCGAGCTCGGGGGGTCGCGGCCCTCCTTGTCGTAGTTCACGATGGTCCGGCTGCCGCCGCGACGGATCTACCCGCGCCGGCGAGCCCGTATGCCCCAACTCCATCCGCAGGGGCCGAGTCAGCTCGTCTCTCGCCTCCTCCGATAGCTGACTCCAGGCCCCGCCAACCCGGCCCCGCCCGGGGCCCTCCGGCCTCGGCCTTCCGGATCGCCGGTGGGGGCCCGCCGTCGTCCTGTGGCGCCCCCCCCCCCTCGCCCCCCCCCCTTCGGTACTCCAGTCTCCGACGGGGGGTTCTGGGTTCTCCAGGGTCTGTGTGGGTCCGTGCGGTGACGGCCACGCCGGCGGCGGGGGCGGAGGCGGTGGCGGGGGCGGCGGGTATGGTGGCGGTACGGGCGGCCGCCCTGGTGTGGGGCTCCGGGGGTGGCCCCTTGACCCTGATGGCCGTTCCAACCGCGGCTCCACGCGTCGGTCGTCTACCGCACTCCGGGGGAGAGGCGTGTCACTTCGACCATTAGCCGGGCGAAGGGCGGTCATCTCATTCCCGACTGCAGCTGTTGCCACTGCCTGACATCTACGGCCGCCCAGAGGACTCCGTGCACTATCGGGAGCAAGCCCGTTCTCACCTGCGTCTCGGACGGAATAGGTCGGAGGGCTTGCCCCCCCGCCACCGCCCCCCACGGCCCCACACAATCGATCACGTGCGCACCTAGATTTGTCACCCAGGCTGGGCCGAGCTTCTCCCTCACCGGGCTCGAGGCATCCCCCTCGGTCATGGGTTTGATCTCTACGGGTTGGTCGTACCCCAGCGCCACCGAGCTGACTCTCTGTAGGTCTCGTCGCAGCTCCTCCTCGTTGCCATGGTCTCTTTCTTGGCAGCGGGACGATCACGACCCCATCATGCTGGAGGAGGCTGATGAGTGCCGCCCAGTCCCATTTGGCCGCCCTGGAGATTGCTTCCAGCTCCGACACCACATCCGACTTGAGCGTGCGCGCCGGGTCAGTCGATCCACCCGACGCGTCGGTGGGGAATTAAATCCGGCTTTGTTGTTCTGCCGGCGGGCGCGACTTTGGAGTTCTGCCGGGCAAACAACAGAGACACGGCTGCGATGCCGCCCACGGGCGTCCTCCGCGCGACCAGCCTCGCCTCGCTGCCCGTCGACGAGGAGGAGCGGCTGGCCGCGCAGCTGCTTCTGCTTCGCGGCGACTCGCGTCACCACAGCGACGCCGTCCGGCTGATGCGAGAGCACCTCGGCGTGCAGGCGGTCCTCCTCGAGGGTGCCCTCGCGGATGCGCTGCTGCCTTCAACCGACGCTGCGGAAGGCATCCCAGCCGCGCCCGGGCCCAGCCTCGGCTGTCTCGAGCGCGGGCTGCCCCTCGGCCTGGCCACGGCCGCGACTGTGGAGGCGCCAAAGCCGGGCGATGTAGTGAGCGATGCAGCCATCTCGAGGTGGATCCGCACCACCTGCGAGTCGGTGGAGGTCGGGCTGATCAACTACCTCCACGTGGGCGTGCGCGTGATGTGGGCCGCACCGGACGGCGCGTGGAAGCAGCAGGCGCTGCTGCGTCCGCGCTGCAAGGTGTCCATCACGGGCCACGGCTGCATCTCGTGGCAAAACACCTTCCTCGGCCACTCCTTCGAGCTGCGGCCCGAGGACCCGGCCGCGAGCGCGCCCGTCTCCTTCACGGTGCAGCATGCCAGCGGGCCTCCGACCCACCTCTGACCCTGCACCCTCCACACCTCCCGCCGCCCCGCCCACCCTGTACAACTCCGACTCTGTGCCCTCCTCCCGCCTCATCCCCCTCGCCGCAACGCCTCGCCGCCAGGTGCAGCACGCGGGCGTCGTCTCGATCGGCGAGCCCGCCCCGCTGCCCGAGGAGCTCTACCGCCACAACTGGACCGCCGTCGTCGAGACGACGCAGGCGCTCGAGCGGAAGCGCGCGCGCGCCGTGCACCGCACCTTCACCGAGGCTGGCTCCTTGTAGCCGAGATCTAGACGAGATGCGGCCGAGATGCAGCCGAGGTAGCCGTGCACCGCACCTTCACCGAGTCGCCGTCACATCGCCAGCGCGGGCAGCCGTGAACAGGTTGGCTTTGCGCGCGCGCCGATCCCCGAGCGGACGTGGGCCGCGCTCTCGACCTACTACTACAACAACCGGCACGCCGCGCAGCGCGAGGACTGGGACGACCTCGGCACCTCGATGGCCTTCGTCAACTGGTGGGAGTCGCAGACGCGCCTCATCCCGATGCCGCTCCGCTGGAAGGAGAGGTGGCACCGCGAGCTCATGCCGACCGTGGCCGCGTGGGCGGGCGACGTGCAGCTGCAGGCGACCGCGTTTTACGGGATGCGCGTCTACGCGGACGCTTCGTGGCTCATCCGCCACGTCGACCGCGAGGACACGCACGCCCTCTCGGCCATCATGAACCTCGACCAGTCCGACGACGTGGAGGCAGCCACCCAACGCCACCCGACGCCACCCGACACCCCCCGAGGTCACCCGAGACCCCCCGAGGTCACCCGAGACCACCCGTCATGAACCTTGACCAGCCATCGGACGTCGGGGTTGGGGTAAGCGTGTCCGGGTGAGAGCGAAGCGTGACGAGGGTAGGCGTGGCCGCTCCTCATCGACTCGCTCGACGGCGAGACGCACTCCCTCACCATCTCGCCCGGCGAGATGCTCTTTTACGAGTCGGCGCGCTGCCTGCACGGCCGGCCGCTCCCGCTCAAGGGCTCGCGTTTCGTCAACGCGTTCGTCCACTACCGCCCAAAGGACGACCCGCACTGGCACGCCGTGGCAGGCAGCTACTCGGGCGCCGCGGTGCGCTGGGCTGCGGACCACATCGCCGTGCGCTCGGAGGAGGCGCGCGAGATTGCGCCGGCGTGAGCAGCGGGCGTTGATCGAGGGCGTCACACTTCTGGGTGTGAACAGGCGCGCGAGATGGCGCGCCGGCTTGCGGCGCACTCGGGGCACGCCTGGCTCGCGGGAGCGGCGGCCGCGTCGCCGTCTGCAGCGCCAACCTCCTCGGCCGGCAGTTTGGGCGGTTCGCTCACTTGGGAGGCTGCGGTGGCGCTGGACGCCGCCATAGCGATCCTGCTCTTTGGCGTCCTTTGCCTCGTCGCCCGCCGGCTGAGGCTCACAGGACTCATCCTCGCGCGCCTGCAGCGAGCCGCGAGGCCGCGGCGAGAGAAGGGGGAGGCGGTGTGAGAGAGACAGTGGGTCTGCCAGACAGCAGACCGGTGTGGAGAGCAGCTTTCAAGTTTCGCTGGCGTCTGGCGAGCGAGTGTGCGCGAGGGGCGGTGAGACACGTGAAAAGCTTATATAAAAGACTCTGAAACACGCCAGTATTCCCTGAGCCTGACCCAGTGACGTACGCGACACGCGCAAACGAAATGCACACGCGCGATGAGAAGTGCGCGGGCGCGGACCCTAGAGTACACCCTAGGCGTACTATAGCTCCTACTGCCTAAAGCCGTAGGGGCTAGGGCGGACCCGCGCGTGAAAAGAACCCGCCGCCGGTGAGGCGCTGAGGCTCAGGCTGAGGTGAAGCCCCCTGTACGCGCGTTTGATTATGCGCACCACGCGCTCGACTCCACACGTACGCGAGTCGACTTACAAGATGAGAGATTTGTTTTCGGGCCGCCGCGCGCATGCAAAGTACCGAATAGGATTCCGAATACACGGAATACGCGTGGCAGACTGCGGGTCGGTACACGATACTAGCAATCACCCCGAGGCTGCTGCCGCGGCGACCTCGCTCCCCTCGTAGCTCAGCGCCTCGGCCTCGCCTCCGACGGAGAGGCTGCTCGCGCGGCAGCTCGACCAGATGTAGGAGGCGACCTGGCGGCGTGGCGTGGACGTGTCACGGACGTGCCGTGCTCGCGGCAAAGCTCGTCCGACGGAGGCGGCCTCGAGCAGCGACTCGGGCGGCGGCTCGCCGAGGGCGCTGCGGCGGGCGAGCAGCTCCTCCGCCGCGGCGAGGATGACGGCGCCGGTGCCTGTGACGGGCGAGGGTGCTCACCACGTGCACATGCTAGTCAAGACAACACTCACTTGACACGAGTTGCCTGTGACGGCGAAGGTGCTCACCATGTACACGAGGAAGATGTCCAGCTTGAGGTAGCCGCTGCCGATGCCCGAGAGGAAAGCGGGCGGGAAGCGCCACACGCCCTGCTGCTGGCCGAGGCAGTCGATCAGCACCGTGGTCACGCCGGGCGCGAACCAGCCCCACGTGATGCGGTCGGCGTGGCGCAGCACGAAAGAGGAGCCGATCGACCAGATGACCAGCCAGACGGGAGAAAAGGCGAGGGCGACGAGGCCGAGGCACTTGACGCTGTCGTCGGGCGAGAGCGCCAGCGCCCAGCCGCCTGTTCCGCAGGGCGGAGGGGTGAGCTCTGCTCGCAGCGAGAGCAAGCGCGCCCGCTGCCAGCCGCCAAAGGCAAACGCGGAGAGCAGCGCGGCGGAGACGCCTGTGGACGCGTCGCGGACGTGTCGCGGACGTGTCGCGGACGCGTCGAGGGGGAGAGCAGCGGAGGCGCCGCCGCGCAGCGCGGCCGAAGGGACGCCGCGCTCCGTCTGTGCCGGCACGAGCTCGAACGCCTTGAGCTGGTAGAGCGCCGTCTTGAGCACGTGGTGGAAGAGCCAGAGCACCTGCGGCGGAGGCAGGGCTCACGCGGCCACAGCGCGGAGGGGCGAGGGTGGCTGGCGGCGCCTCCTCGACCGGCAGCGGGATCGACTCCCTCAGCGTGCACTTTGCCGGGTTGAACTCCCAGATCCCGAGCGAGGCGCCGTAGCTGTCCCAAATGAAACTTTGCACGACGCCGACCACGACGATGAAGGCGATAAAGGCGTACGCGGCCTGCTTCTGCACCGGCGCGGCGCGCTGCAGCGGCGGCGAGAGCGAGAGCAGCGTCAGCGTCGGCAGAGCGAGGATGAAGTGCAGGTGGCCGTAGACAAACCTGCAGCGGCAGCGAGAGCGAGAGCAGCGTGAAGGAGGGCGAGAACGAGAGCGGTGAGGAGTGGCGGCCACACGAACCAGTCGGTCGGCGCGTCAAACGGCACGGCCGCCGGAGAGAGCATGACCGCGGCGTGCGCCGGCGCAGAGCCGCGCACGGCGAGGAGAGGGCGGCTGTGGAGAAGCGGCGGGGCTACTCGCATATCTGATCGACAGCAGCTGCGCGACGTGGCGCTGGGCCAAGTGATGCCGGCGCCGGGCGGTGCTGACGCAGCAGAGGTCGAGCGAGGAGAGCAGCCGAAAGGGGAGAAACAGAGAAGGCAATTTTCAAAACAGCTCCTCGTCCTCCCTTTGGTTCCTTTTCCTTTTTGCGGGGAATTCTTTTACTGCCGGGAACCCAGCTCAAGGCGTGCGGGCTCTCGGCACATGATCTTGGCCCTCGCCTGCGCATCTCGGCCGCCGCCGGCCCTCGCCTGCGCATCTCGGGCTTGCGCGCGGCCCTCCGCCCGCTGCCCGCCTCCGCGGCTGCTCACCGTCTCGTCCACCGGCTGGGAAGGGCCGGGCCTGGTCGAGGGCATCTTGAGCGGGCATCTTGAGCGGGCCGGCGTCGACCTCTCCTACTGGGACCTGCACGGATTCCTGCTGGTGCCGACCGCCTGGCTGCTCACCGCAGGCAAGCCGTCGCTCCTCGACGAGGGCAAGGACCCGCTCACGCGGCGCGCCTCCTTCGCCTTCATCGCCTTCATCCTGGCGATCGCCGTCGCTCAGGCCTTTGTGTGGGACAGCGTCGGCGCCCAGATCGGGATCTGGGAGTTCAACCCGCAAAAGTCGACCGGTCTCGGCGCGGCGACGCTGCTTCCCGCCGAGGAGATCGCGTGGCTCTTCCACCACGTCGTCAAGGCCGCGCTCTGGCAGATCAAGATGGGCGAGTGGCGGCTCACCGCCGCGCCTTGCAGCGATCCCGCGCCGCTCGAGCCGGTCGCCCGCGCGGCGTGCAACGCCGCGCTGCTCGCGGCGTGGGCGGCGGGCGTCGCCGCCCTGGTCGGCGAGGACGATAGCCTCCGCTGCCTCGGGCTGGTCGCCTCCTTCTTCGCCCCCGTCTTTGCCCTGATCCTCATGCTCGGCTCGCGCTACCTGCTCTCGCACTGGCGCCTCTTCGTCGCGGGCTGGCTGCCGCCCGGCGCGTGGACCGTCGCGATCGACTGCGTCGGGCAGCAGCAGCGGGTCTGGAGGTTTCCGCAGACTTTCCTCACCGGCGTCGCCACGCTCCCTCCCGACTCGAGCGGCGTCGGCCTCCTCAAGCTCGACATCGCTGCCGTGTACCTCGTCTCGACCTTCGCCGTCACAGGCACCGGCGCCATCATCCTCGCCGCGGCGCAGGAGTTTGCAGCGCAGCGGCAGCGCCAGCGGGGGGGCGAGGCGAGCGAGGCGGGGCGCGCGGGCGCGGCGGAGGGTGAGCAGGAGCCAGAGACGCTCTGGCACCTGGGCCTCTTCATCCTGCACGGCGCCGCGCCCGCCCTCGCCGAGCGCGCCGCAGCGGTCGTGCCGCCCTCCTCCTCCGCGTGGCGGCTGGCGCCGGGACAAGCGGACGGGGCCGCAGGGGGCGGCACCGGCGCGCGCGAGGAGGCGTTGCGCGCAAATCAACGTTGAGGTCCTGTGACACTTGTTAATGTGTGTCTGGTCGCTGGTGGTAGTGAGCCTTGCGCGAAAATCAACTCTAGATCTCGCCAAATCGGCTCCAGATGAAAAAGAAGAGCCAGGGACCCCGCTCTCTTCCCACCGCTCGCTGCCGCTAACGCCACCACGAGCTGAAAGCGCCGCCGGCACGCCGCCGTGCAGCACGCCGCCTGGTCCTCGGGAACAGGCAGCCTCCGCAGCAAGAGTCAGTGACAGATGCCCGGCGGAAAGCGTGGCGCTGGCTGCGCTGGCCTAGTGGACCGCGCTCGGCGTTGGCAGGCTCGACGCGTCCTCATTCTCGCTGACGGCGACCCTGTCGACAGCATCCCGGCCGCCGAGGAGGAGGTCGCCGCCCTCACCGAGGCGTGGCGCTCGCTTGGGCTCTTTGTGGAGCGCGTCGATTGGCAGTCGGGCCCGGCCTCGGCGCTGCTCCACCGCGCGCGAGCCGTGTTGCCGCTGCTGGCGTGGACGTACAGCGAGACGCCCGCTCACACGGCTAACTTCTGCGAGCTGCTCCGTTCGCTCGCCGACGGCGGCGCGGGGCCGCGGCTAGACCTGCGTGCGACGGCGTGGCACGCGCACAAGAAGTATCTGCTCGAGATGGCGGAGCGTGGCCTCGGAACGGTGCCCACCGCACTCCTCGCCAAAGGCGCGGCCGGGGCGGAGCTGCGCTCGGCTGTCCGGCGGCTGGACGCCGGGCGTAGCGCGGGCGAGGAGGGGCGTCGCTCTTACGTCTTCAAGCCCGCCGTTGGGAGCGGCGGCGACGGCGTCGACCTGTACACACTCGGCGAGGAGGGCGGCGAGGCAGCCGTGCTCTCGCGCGCCAGGGAGGGCGACCTGCTGCTGCAGCCGTTTCTGGGCGGCGTGAGGCGGCACGGCGAGCTCTGCTTCGTCTTCGTCAACGGCTCTCTGCTGCACGCAGTGCGCAAGGAGCCGGCGGGCTGGAGCGCGCGCGGTGCACAGCGCGTGTCTCGCGTCGACTCTCCGCCCGCAGAGGCGCTCGCGACCGCGCTGCGGGCCATGGGCGAGGCGCGCGCGGCTTGCGCGGCGAGGCCAGGCGAGCAGATCTACCTGGCGCGTGTCGACCTCCTGCCCGACACAGCGGGCGGCGGGGGAGGAGAGGCAGCTGGAGAGGCAGCTGGAGGCGCGACGGGGCAGCCTCGCTGGCTTGTGAGCGAGCTCGAGCTCGGCTGGCCCCACCTCTTCCTGCGAGCCGCAGAGGGAGGCGCGGCGGCCGCGACGAAGGCGGTCGCCGCCGGTTTGCTGCGGCACCTCGAGCGCAGGGAAGCGGACGCCGCCGGTTTGCTGCGGCACCTCGAGCGCAGGGAAGCGGACGCCGCCGGCTGACTCTCGGGCTAGCGCCCTCGCTCTTATGACGCTACATACATACAAGTATGTGAGATGATCTCGCGAGGAGATGATCCTACGCGCAATGCCGGTACTTTTTTTCTTTCCACCATTGATTATTCACATCTGCTTTACTTTTAGTTCAAGCCGTATTTGCCGTCGCCGCGGCCATACATGGACATCTCTACGCAACATCGGAAGATCCTTGGACTGTAGATCGTAGATGCCTTTTAGAGATCTCTTAAGTGGCAAATCTCCTGCCAAGAGCAGCAGTAGATTGAAGAACTGGTGGAGGCAAATCTTCTCCGGTGTAGATGCTCGAGAGGAGTCTGAGATCTCGAGTTGGTGCGTGCAGTCGCTTGAGATCTTGCGACAGAGGTGGAGATTCTGACTTCGCGCCAAAGGCGCCTAGAGATCGTGTGGGCCGACTGGAGATTGCAAAATGGCGCGAAAAGAGGGTGGAGATCCTTTTGCATTGTGAATGAATCCATAGCGCATCTCCTTGAAGGTTTGAGCCCCCCTCCTCCCCCGGGCCCCCGAATCGAGATTGGGGATTGGAGATTGGAGATGGAGATCGGAGATCTGACTGAATCCGGCCTAAGATGACGACGTTGGAGATTGGAGATTGAAGATGGAGATCGGAGATCTGACTGGATCCCCGGCCTAAGATGTAGCGACGCTGGAGATTGGAGAGTACTGGAGAGATGGAGATCGGAGAGCTCCCCAAGTCCCTAGTGGTGTCTCATCGTTTTTTGTTTTATTTTTAGATAAAGGTTCTGTGCGCGGACGGCCCGGGGAGCCTCCGGCGCCATTTTAATCTGCGCTCCTCTTCATGGCCTGCGGCGCCTGGCTTGAGCTTGGAAGTGTAATCGAGTCCGCCAGGGCGGTCCTGCAAACCCGAGAGACCTTGGCCTCGCTTTCTACCCCCGATATGCGGCGCCGTTTCCCGTTTGGACTATTGCCAGGGCGCCGCTGCAGTGTCAAAAAGCTTCCTTGTCCTAACCTGAACACGTCCTGTAATTCGCGAGCCAAATCCCATTTT